GTAGTTAAATCTTACAATTATCTTGGACAAATGCAATTAGTTATAACTGTACAAAAGCAAACAAAGCTCTTTTTACTTTAAAACGATTAATTTATAACCGATTTGGCAACTTACCAATACATTTGTGGAACAAAATTTTTGATGTAAAAATAGTACCAATATTAATGTATAGCAGTGAGATCTGGGGAATCAATGACATACCAATTATTGAAAAATTTCACTCTAGGTTTTTCAGATTTATTTTAGGAATAGGCAGCACAGCTCCAACTATGGCAGTTATGGGTGAATGCGAGAGATTTTCACTTTCTGTTGCTGGTATTAGAAATGCTTTACGTTATTGGTTACGTTTAATTAATGCAGATAATAAAAGTTGTATTTACAGTTATAGATTCCAGTTAAGAAGATTACAGTCGAACGATAAATCTTGGTTATACTTTCTTAAGGAGAAATTATGTTCAATTGGTTTTGGTATAAATTGGTATGAACAATATGTTGAGAACAATGTTGCTTTTATATCTGAAATAACTACTCGTCTAACTGATACTGAACGTCAAAATTTTCATGAACAAATTCATTTATTTTCCAGACTTAAGTATTATGTGACATTTAAATATAATTTTACAATCGAACTATACCTAATGCATATACAAAATTTTAATTATAGACGTATTCTCACTAAGTTGCGTTTAGGAGTCCTTGAATTAGAAATTGAAACTGGTAGATGGTCAAAAATTGATAAAAAATATAGATTATGCAAACATTGTACATTAAATTTAGTTGGAAGATGAGTACCATTTTACTTTAATTTGCCCTTGTTACACTGATATTCGTAAACATTATATATTTAAGTAATTTATTGTTAATCCATCCAAGGTGGGATGATAAATCCATGCATTATCATTAATCCCAAAAAATAGAATTTATTTAGATTCAAAATATTTGTTTTAATTGAATTGTAGATGGTTGAGGTGAATGGGCGAGAACAGTAATTATATTACTGCAATGTTTACACTCAATATATGCCATTCCATTATGTCAAGTGGACGCCCAAAATGATTAAGAATTTGGATGTGTATTCGACAGTTTAATGCAACGGACATCAAAGTGGCAAAAGTCGATTATACCTAATTGTATGATACATCGTTGGGATCAAGACTACATTAGCTTGTCTAAGTATGACACGCCGCTAGGGACATCATTTCGGTTAAAGACCACTAAATCATAATTCCATGGTCAATTTGTGCAAATCGGAATATTCATGCAACGTATTTTTTTTATTTTGAACTATCGGAGTCTCCTTTCCACTACAGCAATATATAATTCTCTTATACAGTATATTATTATGATAGGCCTACCAATAGAATTGAGACAACAATGTCATTATCATCAAAATCATCATCGTCATGATCATGATCATCATCATCATCACCATCACCATCATCAGTAATAATATGCGCTAAGTCCGACTTAAGGGGAATTATTATTATTATTATTATTATAAATTATGATTATTATTATGAATATTATTATTAATAATATATAATATATAATAATGTAATATATAATAATAATAATATGATAATATATAATTATATATATATGTTATATGTCATATATTATATAGGCCTTTATTATTATTATTATTATTATTACTATTGCCTTGTTGGCATTAAGCGTTATATAAATATAACATATTATTGTTATTAATATTGTTATTATCATTATTATCATCATTGTCAATATTATTATTATTATTACGCCTATTATTATTACGTCAATTTCCTAATGATATTAAAATCAAATAAAATTATACACTTACGCCCACGTCCACTGTTTGCCAAACATACCAACACAATACGTAAACAAAAAACTATGTGCAGAATTTTAATAACTTACTGTAATTTTTTAATCAGAAATCCCCTGGTTGAATGTAATAACTGCATATAAATTTACTTGAATTAACATAATGAGAAAGTAATTTGATCACTTGCATGCTAAATTAATTATCATAGTGCATTGGACTCAAAACGGTAACTTCACAAGCATGATCGTTGTTAATCTAGCGACTTTATAGTAGATCGTCTATTTAAAAGGCACTTAAACTAGGCCATCCGAGTCGTATAGAAAAAGGACTATGCGAGATTTACATACGCCAGAATTTTGTTCAAATCACTTCGGATTAGTCGCGTATCAAGTTCATTACGTGTAGGCAAAAGCTGGCACGAAGTGGCTTTGAGTGTAGTATACGATAGACCTTTCCGGAGTGTCAATCAAACTTAACAACTGACTAATCAGAACAGCGCTAGGAATACGCGCACCTCTTACAAACACCCGTGTTGTCCAAAAACGCACGTGTTCGCGTATGTTTTAACAATGCCGTCTTGTGGGACCTTAGCAACAATATCCAAGGGGCGGAGCTTAGCGGAAAGGTCCATTGTATATTAAACACAACAATAAAACTGTAACAGACATGTATATGTGCTGGTAATAATGATAAAGGCATTTTTTGTTTTGACTACGCAGCCAGTCTACTACGAACTAGTAGAGCGTAACAGACATATGCGCATGCTCACAAACCTTACTGGCTAAATCGGCGTTGTGACATCCGCGACTACCCCAATTTTTTTAATTTTTTTTTTTTTTGGCGTAGTGGCGACTACTCTAATATTGACCAATCAGATCACCGGATTGTTTGGCAAACTGCTGGTAACTTTTTTGTTGGGGTTGCAATTTTCATCGCATCCGCGATCGAGCATTGTTCGTTTAATAATGAATTAATTAATTATTAAAACAAGTGAGTAATTAAATGTTTTATGAAGGCCTATTTATACACATGCAATAAATGAGGAATACAATTAGGTAAATAGGGGATAGTGAAAAAAGGGCCTTGTTATATAGGCTTAGACTAGGCTAGCCTTGTCAGGGTGGATTTCGGGTAGGAGAAAACACATTATCTGGTGCCGCTAGCTTGGGCGTCCGCCCTTGATATCGTGGATCAAGCCTTGCTATATAAATACCTCTGTTTAAAATTGTTATATATTTGTACATCATCGTTGCATTTGGCAATATTGCCTGAGCAGGCCTGACACCGGCCCCCGGTTAACGACTCTTTTGACACCTAGGCTAGGCTAGGCCTAGCCTCTCTAGGCCTAGATCCTGCCTAGCCAAAAGCGAAACATCACTCAGTGTTTTCTGAAAACTTTTTATTTTGTATACAGTATTTGACTAAAGTTTTTTTTTTCACATTTCCTTTTTCAAATATAAAACAAGGCAACATTGTTCTCTGGTAATAAAACCACGGTCGACTAACCCCTCTGTAGGCCTCGTACGTGTGCTGCGTCGTCGTAGTCGCCTTAAAAAAACGAAAACAGCTCTTATAAGAAAGTATAATACATACTCCAAGTATTGAAATACACGCCATCGTGTTGGGATTCAATATTTCGACATTAATTATGTCATCATCAGGAATAAACAGCTCTTGGTGTACTACGCGAACAGTGTCTTGGCGTTGCCAAGTAAAGGATTGTAAATTTCAAAATTTAGATAGGCCTTTAAAAGTGTAATTTTTCGTATAGTGTCACCAGTGATTTAGTTCAACGTACGTGCATATTGAACCGTTCCTAATAGGAAATCAGTGGTATTATGGCGTGTCGAGAAGAGTAAATTGCTGTTAGCGTATCTTAATATTAATCGTTGTTGTGGCCTCCACTTACGCATCGCTCCGATGGTCTAGGGTCTGTCGTTTATGCATAGGTTCATGTTTTATGCAATTAAAGTGTATTATAACTGGGCCTTTCCCCCAAATCCCTATCAGTGGACCCTGCTATGTTGGCCCTGTCAGCTATCCTGCCTCGGGCCCAGAGGCGCTCTCGGCGGTCCTGGGTATCATAGATAGCTAAAATGTATACTAACAGGCCTACAGATTTAAATTATGTTACTTTAGTTTATTTGTTTCCAAATAATTTTTTGACGACTACAGTTAATCGCTTTGAAATTTCAGTGATAAAATGTGATATAAAAATCCTGTTTGACATTCTCTAGAATATAACATCTTTTGTATAAAAAACGTCATGAAATAGTTTATAACGTGATTACAATTTTTAAGATTTTGGCTGTTGACTATACGTTGTGTTTGTTAATCTTACATGTTCAGATTGTCTCACAGGTCACTCAAGTGAGAAGTAATGTAAACGTAGAGACAAACTGCACAATAAATCACATTGGTATTGTGTTCTTTTATCGGTGTTACAGTATTTTGATCCGTTCTTTCCTTTGATGTTTGTCTATTTGTCAAGTTGTCCTTTACAATATATATATGTTATATTTAGTATTTTATATTTAGATTTGTAAATTGGAATTTCTTTTATTAGTTAAACAGTTAAATTGTTTGCTATCTTCCACAGTTCAGAATGAATATTTTAAAGTGAGTACCGGTATATGAAAACAGTCGTTATCGTTACATGAACAATAAATTTTGAAAAATATGAATTTGAATATGATATTCTCGCTTCTCTACAAATCAGCTTGACATTAATTAATTTTTTTCAATAAAATATTTATAAACGAATTTGTGGCGGTTGTAAGGCCTACGCATGCATTCAGTAGCAACAAGGGAAGCTTACAGTAGCTTTAAGTTTTGATTAATGGAATTATAATATAATTATATATATATAATATATATTATATATATATATTATTATTATATATATATATTATATTATTATATATTATTATATTATTATAATTTCTTTTGTGAGAGTTAGTGACACATTTTAAATTTGAACAGTCTCCTGTTCAGTATTCAGCTGTAAAGGCAGACACCGCGCGGTCGTCTTTTTGTGGTTACTATGGTCGGAACCACGCTAACCCTACTTTCGTAGACCCTAAAGACAAAGCTTTGTAATTCGATCTCAAAAATCTAATCGCAATAAAGATATTTGCATATTAGTTAAATTGCCTATTTCACTTTAAATTCATCAAGATAAGAACGTTAAACTTACCTGTCGATTGCGATTACAAGAAGCGTTGTAACGGACACATAAAGCGATACGTTCTTAACAGTGTTTACGATTGGACAGAGGACATCGCCGAATACCCAGTTATCTATCAAGTAATAGTAACCGGACAAGGGTGCACTTAACACCGCAACCACCATGTCCGACAAAGCTAAATTAACAATCAATAAATTTGTAATCGTTCGTAGACGCCGTTGAGAAAGAATAATAAAAATAAGAAGACCGTTACCAAATCCACAGATGATGACAATGAGGAAGTACGATATAGCGAGTAAGATACTGACCAGGGTATGTTTCGGAACAAATATCGTGTAGCAATCGCTTAATAGGTCGTAATCACTGTAATAATCCGTAGGTTCGCTCGGATTAAAGAAGTATGAATGTTCCATGTCCAAAACTCGCTCACTTGTAGAATTATTAATTGGGACATTTGGAGTCGTAATATGCGACCGTATAAATGGTGGTAGCGTATTTATTTCAAACGTATGTTCGAATGGTATTCCGGAAAAGTCTGATTGGCTGCTGTATTGAAAGTCTCCGAATCTCGACATTTTGACAGTTATTTCGAATATCCTATGTTGAGAGTAATGATTCAGTGCTTGTTTATACACTGGTTTTAAACTTCAAAGATGTTACCTGTGATGAAAGTTAACGGCATCCAATATAATGTTCCACTGGACGAACGTTTTTATATCCGACCAATCAAGATTATGTTTATGTATTCTCGATTCTGTATAGAGTGACGTAATTACTGTAGTCCATGTTTCAACAAAAATTAACAGCTGACTCAGAAAGTATCAGTCTTATCGGTTTGGTTTTGCTTGAGTAGTGCACAAATGCTTAGAAGTTTATTCTAGAAAAAATAAACACATCTATCATGTCAAATGAATTACTGTAGGCCTATGTACAACACCAAACATTGCCGATGACTTTGTAATCACATCTGTTGAGATCCCTTCCGCAAAACATCGTCTGGTTTTGCAACTCAGTTGAAAACTTGTCGTAAATCATGCCCTCTTGCGGTCAAACGTGACTACTAGTACAGCCATGTAATAGTTTCAAGCAGTGTTCTTGCGGTTAGTGTCGAATGTCAAGTTGGATTGTCTCTGTACAGTAAACGCATTGATTCTTCCCAGCAATTACTGTATGAGCAGATATGTGCGATCCTGAAGGGGTACCATATCATGCTGTGTTCTTCATGGATCGATTTACATTCCTTTCACTAGATGCTCACCGCAACGACTTGTTGAAAAGCAAGAATATAAGACTGAATATTAAGAACATATTCGAATTTCATTCGAATTGTTCTGCCAATTAATGTACCAAATGAAGTAGTTAAGTATTCTCTTAACTATAACACTTTAAAAAAAAAAACCATGTAAATTGGAAATAATATGAAACTTAATCATGTTTTATTACGGGAATGTCCGCCTATAAAACTATTGATGCCACAGTTCTTAGCCAGGATTTAGATTCTCAACGAACCGTAAACAATAAAGTAAAAGTACGTTAGGAATTCGAAGAAAGATAAAACAACATATGAGTCACCCTAATTGCTATACTGGGATATTTATTTTTTAACTTCCTATGATCGTTAACAACATTATATACGTGAAAGTTAATTTTGAAAATTCTCTTTATTTAAAAAAAAATTAAATGACACAGACCTAATTCAAATATTAAAAATGTTGTATCATCGAGGAAGCTATAGGCCTACTTAAACAAATTGATATACGGAGCGTAGTAATGAACCCTTCTGGAGTGATCAGAATAGGGCCAGGAATACGCACATGTCCCACAAACATGCGTTAATGTGTCGTGTTGTCAAACTGTAGTAGGGCCTATGTGTCGTGTTGTCAAACTTCAGTATTACAGTTTTCATGGCTTAACACATTGCTAAAAGCTCCAAGATAACACACCATAACTGCAGTGTATTCGAGGGGAATAACTTCACTTAAAAATTACCGACCCTGGCTGCAATAGGGGGCTTAAGCCTCGAGATGATGTGTGTATTTTAATGAATTCAATATTCCCTGTTTAAACATTCAGATCAAAAACACCAGAATAATCAGTCAGTAAAATATTTTTGAAATTCACACTTTGCTAGTTTTATATATTTTATATAGGCCTACCGTAAGTCTTTACACAAAATGTTTACTTTAGGCATAAGTTATTATTTTGCATAAATGCTTTATAAACATGTGTTTCCATTGTGATTTTTTTCTGCCTAGAAGATATTTAGGCAGCAACCACCTGTATCTGATCCAGTATACGTGATCAATCTGAAGATATTCAACTTTCCTAAAGCAATTTAAAAGTTGTTTGATTTAACTCTTGTCAATTTATTAGCGGACGATCGAAAATCATTGCTAAATGTCTTTAGGCCTAATGAAGGACTTAGCAAGCCTTTCAGGGGAAGTTGATTTTGGAAGTTCGTGATTGTCTGTCAGAGGGTATTTCACGTCTCCTCAATCAGGTGGAGATTTAAAACCGCAAAGATAAAGTTAAAGATATTCTATTACTTCACGTAAATTGAACAATTTGTACTTTGCTGTATATTAAACGTGGCCTTTATAAATCACCAGGAAGGATTTAACTGAATAATTATTGTCGTAAGGAATAGAGCCACTTTTCATGATGTGATTGATGTGCGTGCTGTCAGGTGTTAGAATTTGTACATATGATAATATCGGAAGTACACTCTATTTAAACGTTTAACTACACTTAGTATAGGTAATAGTGAGAATTAGATATACAGATATTAAGTCACTGGAAGATGGTTTTAAACTAAATTAAATGTTATTCTTAACGTTGTAGCATTATTATGGCATATTGTGAATATGGTTTTTGTATTAAATTAGATTTCACTTAGCGAATCTAGGCATGTAATGTTGTAGATCGAAAATTTTAAAGATAACTCACTTATGAAGAAGTAAAATAAAATAATCTCCGGTCAGAGAGTTTGCCCCTGTACTCCGACCGGGCCCTTTACGGCCCATTCGTTCTAAGTTGGACTCGCTTTACTTTAATCTGCATTAATGTCTTAATCATCAAAACCATGCAACCGCCTGTCAACATCATTACTATCTCCATGGTCATCGCATCATCGTTTACCTGACATTTTATCATCATCATCATATCAACTGAATATCATCATCATCCTCTTCCTCCTCCTCAGACATCATCATCATCATCATCATCATCATCTTCATCATCCATCATCATGCGTCGTCGTCGTCATCATCGTCATTATTATTATTATTATTATTATTATTATTATTATTATTATTATTATTATTATTATTATTATTATTATTATTATTATTATTATCATTATCATCATTATTATTATTATCATCTAATGACTGAAATAACTCCACTCATTATGAGACATAATTATAATAACTAAAATGTTTTCTTCTTTAGTGTTCTGCCGTCTGACAGGTCATTGACTGCCAACTCCTCCACTGGCATCTGTCCTCCGCTCTTCTCTTCTTTTCCACATAAGGCCTCTTATAATTTACATCGTCTATCTTTCTTCCGTTGGTCTTAACTAAGTCTCATAATGAGAAAAAAAAAACCCCACATACATAACTGGGCCCTGTGGGTGAATCGTAGGTATCTACTGAACAGGATACAACCCAGTATAAACAAAAAAATATAATATGATACAAACACATTCTAACAAGACGCCCCAACGTTTTACAAAAAGCTGGATCGGCCCCTGTTTCGTTGTGCTCTTTAACTTGGTATAACTTTATCACTGGTAGACCTGTCCATGAAGATACTTCTACTGTCCAGTGGTCTTTCTGGCTTTAATGAACCAAGAATTGGCTAAGTAATTTAAAAAATCTTATAAATTATTCGGTAAAGACCTACTAAAAGCAAATCATTGCAAGAGATATAGGCCTAATATTATTTTTTTTTAAACCTGATAATCTCATACAGGATGTCATAAATAAGCTAGTAATGTATTAGTAATTCTTAAGACCGAATTTAGCAAGTTAAAATTACAATCCACCAAACTGTATTCCAAAATCAACTGTATTCACTTAGTATTTCAAAAAGTAATGTATAGTAAATTGTACCCTGTGAATTTTATTTTGTGTTTCACAATATCTGGCAACTTGTGAAATGACTATGTTCTTCATATTGTATTTTATGTTATATTCAGGGTTTTATTTTAATTAAATTTAAGTATCAAGCATGCATGGTATTCATGGTGGAATAAACATCTCAAATGTTAACAAATATTCATAAATTCTGGTTTAATGTATATACTAATCAATGAGAAACTTCTCCAAGTCAGCGGCTGTTACTATTTTTATATATTTTGTAGAGGGCGCTATGTGATTGTAGCGATAGGACAATAATAGGTTTACCTGTGTTACATAAATAAACTAAATATTTTCGTTATGCATATACAAATATATACAGCCTTACTATATTATACTTTGGGTATGAATTAGTTCTGTAATCCTTTTCCCCTTTCTTATCTACACCAGCGTCAATACTATACAATTAGACGGTTATCCCTGTTATGCCCGGTGTGTATGACCTATATTTCATCATGACCGTTTCTTGCCCAGCCTCTAAATCTAAAATATTGGTTGATTTAAATTTTAAGTTTGCTCCTAAAAATTTAATTTATCTACGACAAAAGTGAGTGAAGTGCGACCCGTCAGCGATTTTTTCCGGTCAGCGACAATGAATTAAAAACCCTATGTTTGCGGTCCGTATCAAAATTGGCTAGAAAACACCTTGTTTTTTTACGGCCCGACACCAATATGTAAAAAATAACATTAAAACTGAGAATAAAGGTGATGTAAAAGCAGTGATTGGAGACTTTTGGAAGCTCACTGGAACAGCAAAGTTTGGGTGCGGCCCTCGGTGTTAAATCAGAAGTTCACTTTGGCCCTCCGACCGATTTTTATACCCACCTCTGATCTAAAAGATAGTAGGCCTATTCTATACTTGGTGCATTCTTGTTTTTTTCTTCACTTTTGAAAACCAATCATATCTTTATTGTATGATGGTTAGACGCGTCCACGCATCTCTAAATAGGGGCTACAGCTGTGTCGAACGATCATGACCTAAATAATAAGGTGAAAGAAAATTTAATTTTAGCGAACTGAGCGGATACAATTGATTCAAAAGCGGCCCTTTTAATCATTTTAGATATTATAGTTAAGATTAAAAGGGCAGAGGCTCAGTAATTCAGCAAAGGATCCAGTGAGCACAATGACCTTTTATATGAGTAACCTACGGTATTTTAGTTGCAGAATATGGAAGTATAAGGCCTATTTAGATATAATCACAACATAGCCATCATTCCATCTGTTACGGGTATTAACATCCGGTCTGTTTTATAATTGTCGTGAACTGCATAAATATTTCAAAGTAAACATAAAAGAAGGTGATTTATTTATGCAACTTTTTTGTTTATTTTGTTTTGTATATGTTTTGTCTTATGATGGGCATGAATAGATTGAACAATTAATTTAAAAAAAAAAAACTCTATAAGGCGTATGTCTTATTGCATGACTCATTCGTTGGTCGAATAAATATATGTATTGAATGAATTCATGAAATGACGGATGATCACATATGTTATACCTCGTCTACCGTAAATAGCGCCAGTGGACCACACTGTATGGGCATGATTTTGGAATTCCCAGCTTCGCAGCATCGAGTGAAGTTTCTGAGCTTAAATAGTGGAATTTTAGTAAACTTTAATAAACAACAAATCAGTATTGTATTTGCAGGCTGACAGTAAATATATCACCTCAATGGAAATCCATCACCTGTTTTATTTTTGAATTGATTGAAATACAAGCTCATACAACGACTGAATCGTGATAGTCAAACAAAATCAATGCTGCTGCACAGAACAGCTGATCACTGAGGCTGAGACACAGACTTGAAAACTGAAAGGATGATTATGAGTATGAGTAATTCATGAGATTTTACTGAACTATCCTACGTTACGC